ATATATAAAAAAAATTATTTCGTTTTGATTCCAAGAAAAGCTTTAAGTGGGAGCTTTAAGAAATTCCAGAAATTTCAGAAAAACTTCGAAAACTTCACAGAAGAGCGGAGATTTTCAGAACCATTTCGAGAACAACTTCATAGAAGTAAATGGAACGTAACATTATCATAAACATTATCAAAATGCAGAAGCATTTCAAAGTAGTAGTAAACTTCAAAAATATTGTGAATTTCAGGGAAAGTTCAGTTCCATTAGTATCAGGAAATTAGAGGGAAATTTCAAGAAGTTCCTAGATTTTCAGAGAACTTCAGAGATGTTAAGAAAATTATTGAGGCCCAACATAAGTTTAGAAGTTCATGGAACCTTAACCATTTTTAGGACAGCTCTATTCAATTCAGGCAGTACAACAAGCTTCAAGCGAACTACAAAAACTTTGAATAAGCTTCTAGAACTTCAGGCAAGAACATAGAACCTCACAGCTGTTCCGTTAACATTAAATAAATTACGTAGGTTTTTAAGAAGTTTCGATATCTTCAGTGAATTGTTAGAACTTTAGAGAAGATCCATGATCGTTAGAATTGAGGAAAATTTAGGAGGTCAAAAAAGTAGTATTGTAGGCATCAGGCTTGTTTCTCAAACTACAAAAAAACTTCAAAGCAGTTTGAATAACTTCAGAAATTTGTTGGGAACTTTCAAGTAGTTTTGAAGACGTCAACGGAGATTTCTCATGAAAATTCACTTGGAGTTCTCCTCAGCATTCGCTTTGTATTGTCCCGGGACTCTTATTTTAGAAATTAGTCTTGTCCCCTTGTCTCGATAGGTCTCATCGTCGCCTATAGATCACCATGAAGCGTGCAGGTTGGCTAAGGCTATTTCGGATATGAAGATTACACTACACTTATACCGTTTCTTCTACTCTAACTTTATGTCCATGATCAACCTTACTCTTTTTTCTATCTAACTAACTCATGACTTCCAATCACGACTCACTATTGACTCCTCTTGACTAGCCAGTCATCACTCAACACTTGACTACCTCAGTCACCACTCACTCCTGACTAACCTGTCACTACTCATTCCTGAAAAATCCTCACAACCCAATTCCCCTAAATTCTGCCGACCTAACTCCTACGACTGCTACCACTTACGACTCCCCTCTAACTGACGACTAACCCCTTTTCACACCCCTTTTCCCCTTTTCAAATCTTAGTTCTAGTTCGGGTTGTCGTTACATCGCTTGACTCGTAGTTCGTTCTCTCATTCCGAATCTAACCGAGTCCATTCCCCAGTAACGTGGGTAGATCACCTTCTCGTGGTACGTTACGGGATGTAAGACCTACCACCGATTCCTAGCCTTGACTACTAGGGGAACAGGATTTTTCAGTAATCAAAGGAACACATCTCAGTCCTTGTTACTTTTTATGCCTTGTTGATAGTGATAAGTCCTCGGGTTGCCTGGACCGAGGATGATCTTGAAACAAGGAAAAAATGAATTAGTTGGTCTTCATCTATGTGATTCCTAACCTTCTATTCGTTGTTCCCTAGTTTGAAGTGGTTAAGACTAGGTTTCTGATGCTTGGTCACTATCGGTGTCATTCTTTAATTTTGTTGCTAAGGAATCCAATTTTGACTGACGAAGGGGCGCGTCTTTAGAGGGTGTTCCAACACTCCGAAGGGTATAAATAGCGGGACCTTTCAATTAGAATCGATCCTTGCGATGAAGGCAAGAATGACAACTGTATCAAAACCGAATAGTTCATCATTTCTAAATAGTGATGAAGTAATACGACATGCACTACACTAAGGACACGGGATATATTACAATAGATCAAATTACTGGTCGCAGTAGTTTTATGTCCCGAACAGAGGAAAAAAAAAAGCCGAGCCCATTTCTCCCGAAGGTCATTCGTTTGCTTACTTTCCATGGTCTGCCGACCAGAGTTCCTTATTTTGTATAACATTCTACTGCGTAGAGCTTCTTTCTATTATAACAATGAGCTCGGTTTCATAACATGATTCATCGCTTCTAAAAATTACGTGTATATCATATGGCCTTGACTCGTTTACACCCAGCCTTACGTAGTTTGCAGTCGCTACGCAACTCATTCCATTAGTGTATGACGTCACCTTTTATCATGCACACAATGCAACATACATATTGTCTGGACTAAGTCAACCGCGCCATTGTTCGCGCGCTTGTTGCATAATTTTTTTGGAATACTCCCCAGAAATCCTTTGGAACTGTCCTCAGAATTCAATATCCTTGAGGTTCTTCTCGGATTTTTCTTAGAACTCTCCTAAAAGCTCTTTTGAAATTCAATTTCATGGAATTTATGGAATTATCCCCAGAAATCTTTTCTTTTGGAATAGTCCTCAGAATTCGACCCCCTTGCGGTTCTTCTCGGAAGTCAAGTTTAAGTTGTCCGCCCATTCACCAAAACGTTGTAGTTTTTCTACCAGAAATATTCAATAAAGCTTGCGCCTGCATTCACCAGAACTGAGCAATTTTTACATTAGGAATTTTCAATACAAACTTGCCCCCAAGTAATTTTAGACCAAAAAATTTCAATTGACCAGAATGGTATGAATTTTCCACCGTTAATGTTCAATAAAGATTGCTTATCCAATCTTCTAATTCGTGCAGATTTCCTTTTTCCATTTTCTACCAAACATTTTCAATATAGCTGGCTTCTCCTATCATCAGAATGTTGCGGGTTTTCCACCAAATTAAACTTGCCCCTATTTTTGGATTTTTTTAAATTTTCATTAAACCGGCTTCCCTCCAAGCATCAGAATATTGCAAATTTTACACCAGAAATTATTGTTAAAATTTGTTTCTCTATTCAGCATAAGGATGCACATTTAAAACCAATTTTTTTTTCCGAAAAGCTTGCCTATCCGTTCACCAGAACGGTGCAGATTTTCCAAAACAAATTTTCAATAAAGCTTAATTTTAAATAAAGCTTGTACCTTCATTTACGAGACCAGTGCAAGTTTTCCACCAGAAATTTTCTGTTCATTTCATATAAGGGAAATGACGGCTTCGGCATGCCAGACTATTTTCGGCAACCCAAATTGAAACACTATTTTCACTGGATTTTCTTACGAAAACACTTCGCTGAATGCATTCAAACGATTCTTTATGCTTTCAGCTTCAATTTGACTATATTTTTACCACTGAGAAAAAGCAATCTAGCAAGGTTTTCTTGAAATGAAACACACGCACTACAAATTGTAGCTGATTTCGAGTTGCCGATAATAGAACAGCAGATTTACATGCAGTTCAAATGGAACGGTTGCCGAAGAAAAACTGGTTGCCGACAATACTCGCTCTCACTAGAGAAGATTGGAGCTTTGTAAAAGCGTTTCAAAACAGTGTTTGACAATTCTTTCAACTGAAATTGTTAGAACAGCTGGCAGCAAAAGATTGTAAACAAACCAATACTGCCTATGTGTGCGTTCCTCAGAGAAAAAGGCTATAGAAAGAAGGTCGCTGCTTAGGTTGCCGAGAATACGTAAATTCCCCTATTAGAGCGATGCAAATTTTTCTCCAGAAATTTTCAATAAAGCATGGTCCTCCATTCACCAGAACGGTGCACCAAAAATTGTCAGTGAAGTTTGTTTTGCCATGCACCTTTGTGGTGCAATTTTCAGGCGTTGCCGCTTCATGCACCAGAATGGTGCAAATTTTCCACCATAAATTTCCAATGAAGCTTGCATTCATCAGAACGATGCAAATTATGCACCAGAAAAAAATGAATAAACCTTGCTTCTACCAGAAATTTTCAGTTAAATGTACAACTCCACATTTTTAGCGTGATTTAATTTTTCCACCAGTGTTATTCATTTTGATTAGTCCCTCCATGAACCACCTTGATGATATTTTTACACTAATATTCAATAAAAATCTTTTTCTTCGATTCACCACCACGAAGGTAATTTTTTTCAATCCTTAATTTACCCTTAAAAAAATTACACCAGAAATTTTTTGTATGCACCACTGTGGTGCAATTTTCACATCGGAGGCGAACCAGCCTAAGGCTGAAAGCCTTATAAATAAAGCTAAATTAATTAATTAATTGGTGCAATTTTTTGACCAAAAAATTCCATTGAAGTTTATCCCTTCATGCACCTTTGTGATGCAATTTTCAGGCACCATCTCAAAGGAATTGACGCAACAAAAGGTTTTCAGTGCCCTCATATTATGAAATGAAGTTATTTTACCTTCAAATCAAGTTATCAAGAAATCAAGTTATTTTATATTCTACTTTTGTAAAAGTGAAAATAAAAATCTTATTTATACCTTGCCACACTTATCTCACTTATTTCAACACTTTTTTCTTCAACACTAAAATCACTATTTTTGACAGTATTGATCCCTACCAGCCCGGATCTCTTTAATGTGATATCCATGATTTTGAAGCTATTAGATTTTCGATTTGAATGTTTTGTAGCCTGCAATGTGGGTAAATGAAAATGGTGACGCTATAATCGTGATATTATGGTTCCATACCCTCATTTAGCTAATCGTTGTTTGATAAACCACCTGTTTAGATACCTCATTTTCGACCAAAAATCTTGTCGAATATCTGAACAAGAAACTGGCCAAAATACAATCGTAGCACTAGTTTGTTAGACGTTCAGACATCAACTAAAAAACGCGCATTCTGTCATCCTTAAAATCGCCAATGAACCAAATGCAATCAAATGACATTTGGGCGCAAACAGTCGCATGCACCTGAATAAAAATCTTTCCGCAAATTGTGTCAACTCACAGATGATTTCATGCAACAATTTGCTCCCAATTTGTTTTGCAGTTTTCTTTTTCCTGAGAACCACGAGTCACTTCTCACAGAAAAGCCACAAATCATCAGCGGTCTGAGACTGTCTGTGTCTTTCGCAGCCTGATTCGTGCCACAATCATAAAGCAATTTATTAATTACTCTCCAACCCCTATTCTCATCACTCTTTTTTTTCTGTTCTCATTTACACCCATACAGGCGGTAAAACAGTTCATAGACCTGATAAACAGTTCCAGCAATGACCCGAACCGGAAGGCGGTCACACCGGCGATCGCAACCAAATTCCTGCTGGCACGCAAATTCGACATTTCCCGAGCGGTGGCCCTGTACGAACAGCACGAGCTGATCCGGCAGCGGGAGGGTCTGTACGGATTTGACCCGATGGCCGATCCCTTAAGAACCGAACTGGAGACGGGGAAATTTACTATGCTGGTAAGTGTCACTGGAAAAGCATTCAGGTTTCGATTGCTTAGCTCAAGTAAACGATTCTCGGGTGATACGTATCTCGGCGATCGGTGATCATAATTTTCCGGTAGTTTGCTTCGTAATCATTATCCCTCCGCTATACATGTTTAACGTAGAAGCGGGTGTAGATGGTGAGAAGATGATGGTTGCATCTGTCTGGATATAGTAGAAACGAGTAAAACGGAACCATTGTTCCAGAGTCAGCCCCCCCCGAAGGAAAAGGAAGAAGCTCCTCTTGAAACGCGATCCCATTTTACAAGCGAGTGCAGCAAAAAGTTGATAATTTACCACTTCCTTGCTTTGTTCCGGTACGTACGATTGCGATGGATGGCGATGATACCGCGCATTTTATGTAGATAATTGAATTGGGTGCTCGGTTGCGTTCCCGACTGAACTTGACGCCGGATTATCCGGAACGCGATGATGTTTGTTTTTGTTTTCTTTGCTCGTCACTCGGAACAATGATTGCTCGGCGAAAATGTCTGTGTACTTTTTTTTTTCTTTTTTTGGGTGGAATTACATGATGTTTTTGGTAACGGAAACTACCGGGTTGCGTACCGCTGAATCACAATTAAATCTCGTCTTCGGTGGGTTTTAATTTGCTGTAGGTGCTCTTTGCGATCATCTGAAAGCCGCGGCTAATTGATAATACATTGTCTGAAACAGTATATACAGAACAAACAAATTATTGACTTTTTAATAGTCTGCTATTCGGAAAACTTATGGAAAGAAACTTGATTTGGCGTAATTTCACTCGATATTTCATGGAACTTTGAAATAGATTAGCAATATTGTATACAGACTTTCAAATAACTCGTGTTCACCTTATTGTAATAGAATATTCTTCGACGACTGCTTGTTTTTGTCTTGCCCAACACCAAGGCATATCAACTGAGTCTGCCTCTGCATCGACGACTCGAATTTGAGTGGATATCAGCTTCTGATGACGGCAACGATGGCGCTCACCATTCGAAATCTAGTTGTGAGGCCGCCATATAATTCGCGATCCTCTTCGTTTCTTACTTCCACATTACTGCTAACTGTAGGTATAGAACTGCTCAAGAGCTCGTTTTAACTGACTACAGTGTGAACTAGCTTCCCTAATAAATTTCTTATGGTTATTTTGCTCAACGACGTGTTTGGGGTATCATCCAAACCATTTGTGGAAAAGTTCGACTATTTGGGTTATTGTTCGTTTATGGTATTCGTTTATTAGGGTTATCAACTTTAACAATTGATTCGAAAGTATTGTCTCGGCGCAATTTCAGCTGTTATGCTTTAGTCGATCTAAGACTTCACCACAATCAGTTTTCAGCCTAACTGCAAATAACTTACCCTGGCATAGATTATTGAATCTTATCATCTCCTTCTTCCTTTTATTTCTTCTTAGCATTTCAAGCTTATTGCTTATCGCATATTAGTTTATTGCGTGCTTTAAATTAGTGTTCTACTTCAAGCACTTCCACAGTTATTAATTGAATGCTTTCTAAGCCTGTACCATTTTTGCAATCATACTCTATGCCCAGGGAAGTCGAGAAATTTTCCAACCCGAAAAATTCCAGGAATCGAACTCAGCCACCTCCAGCATGCTCGTGCTTTGTAGCTGTACCTTAACAGACTGAGCTAAGGGAGTCTTATCGCGACGTTGCCCAAATGGTAAAAAGTTCGAATGTATTTTTACAATACACCTTTGCTTATATTGGGGCTAAATAGATCAATCAAGTATTGATTAAAAACGTCCTAAGGAACGACCATGCAGAGTTCAATACGTAAAGGTTTTACTTGGGTGTACATTCTCACGTACAAGCACGCTTCAGACCGATTTATTGGAGTTCATTAAACAATTCTTACTACTGTTTGAGCTATTTCTGATTCGATTGCGGCACGGCTATCAGCTGTTCAACGTAGAGTTCGTCTTTTGATATCTCTCCAGCTAGTTGAGATTACACGCGTTGCGTTACCAATTCCATCATACCATCATACTGCTGATAAGACTTTTGGGTATAAACCTAAGGATGTCAAATTTTAAATCAGTTTGATAAAACAGAGAGTATGGAAATATGGGTAAGCTTCATATTAGTAGCCTTAGCTACTGTGACATCCGCCCAACTCGATAACCATCAGTGGAACGATCGTAGTGAGATACTTGACGAGTACGAGTGGTTGCTGGTGCCGGTGATAAACACCGGTGCGCCGACTGAAAACGTCAGAACTGGAGGAAGACCATGGTACGAGCCCTATCAACCTGCTTCGTACTATCTCATCACCTGCTATGACACTGAAACCGAATTCACCAGCACGGAGAGCCGTTGCAATCAGGTTCGTACGAGGATCTACTGCAAAATTTTATTCAAACATATGTCTAATATTTCGGGTAAAAGAACAACTGGAGGTTCGGTAAGTGATAGATTAAACTACTCTGTCGTACCTTGTGGACCAAACTTTTCCAATCCCCATAGGGGCAACGCGCCTATTTTGGCCATGTTTTGACAATATTTCACGTTTTCTACAAGTTTAAGATCATTGTTGTTGATCCAAATCTTATGCATCATTGTACACATACATCGTGCACGAAGATTGTGATTTAATCGTTGGCCGGACAATTCCCCCCTCCCCCCTTTAATCCGACCCTGCCCAAGGGTATTCAAAATAGATGACCGCTGATCACTGCCCAAAGAGCATCCGGAATTTCAATGTGGTCCTGCACTCGATATGGAGCTGTTCCACGTCAAATGACGAATCGATCGGATGCAACCTTCTCAGATTTGTAGGAAACTTTATATAATTGGTTGTTATGGTCAATCATTCACATTTGAGCCGTTTTGCCGTTTTGAATCTCGCAATGAATGCATCACGAATTCAATATTTTTCAACAAATCATAACTCAAAAAAGTCACTTTTAATCGAAATGACATCTGAGACAATTGTAGGTGAGAGACAATTGTAATTACTTTAGAGGAAAAATATACACAGTAAAAAATGTCAAGTAATTTTGGGTAAAAAAAATCCTAAAAGGTGTTTGAAAGTTAAATAAAATAAAACGATCATCTTCAATATTTTTAAAATATTTTTCATTAAAATGCTGATGAAAAATGCTATCTTCTGTAACACTTTCATGTTGGTCTCTTAAAAAATATCAATCAAAAATCATTGAACAACAGCTTTTGGACACATTTTTAAACATTTTGTTCAATTAATTTTTTGTAAAATTTTGCGCAGAAAACAATTTTTTTTTAAAGGTCGTTTTCAAAAAGTAAAAAAAAAGTACCAAAAGTTTTTGTTCTATAATTTTTGTTCATAAGTGTCCAATTTTAAATTTTCACAGAAGATAGCAGTTTTCCTAAGCTTCTTCATGAAAATTTTTCAAAATTTTTTGAAGGGAGCCATATTTTGTTATTTAAGTTTTAAATATTTTTAGGCTTTTTTACCCAAATCGAATTGATTTTTTTACTGTGTATATTTTTTTCCTGAAAAGCAATATTTTTGCAACAAGTTTGCCTCACACTTCATTTCGATAGGAAGTGATGTTTTCGAGTTATGATTTGTTGAAAAATGTCAAATAGGCCATATTGAAGTTTTTTGCGAGATTATTTGCTGAATACTAGTAATCCTATATATGGCCATTTTGAGCCAATCATGCAGCGAGAACTGTCAAAATGTGAGCCAAACGAGCATATATTTACACTCATAATATAAATCACATAAACAGTGGAAAGTATCCATGTGAATTTCACATAACTTTCATGTGATCCCATAATTGAAAATTGCACCACTAAATCACTTATAGCGTTCATGTCCAATGAAATCTATATGATTACTCACATAGAATTTCTTATGTTATGTGATATTCAGATTAAAATCATTATTTTTTATATTGGAAAAATATTATGTGCGTTCCTAATAGCAACTAAGTGAAAACTTTTTTCAGTGTAGGGTTTTCTTATTGAGTTGAAAAGTATTGTAATCGGGGTAAAATAAATTCGAACGAAACGTTTATGAATAAAAAAAAAGTAGTAAAATGCGTATGTGAACATAAGAGAGTTTCAAGCATAATTAACAATAATATAATAAATTATGAATGGATATTTTTTATAGATTTTTTTCAGTTTGGTTAATATTGCTGATTGCATCTACAACTGGACAGCCCCAAAAATGTAAAAAGTGTGATAAAATTGCACGATTCCGTCAGATCGTTTTGGTGTCTTCGGAGCACTTATTGCTTGTATAATAAGAAGTGAGTGCACCCAAGGCACCAAGACAATAAGAAGAAAACTTGCATTTTTAACACCCATTTTTAGTAAGTGAAAACGCGCTTATTTGTCCAGTTTGATGTGAAGTCCGCAATAAAACGATAAAACTGTACGCTGTTTTTTTTTTTCTCGAAGTAACATACACTGCACAAACGCATAGAATCCACTAGGGGAAAATCCGACGGTATTCCGCAAAAATCTAGCCATTACTCACATTGTTACACTTCGTTGCACTTCCATAACCGTGGTTACGCAAAACTTGGCAAAAATTGTTAATCAGTTCACTGAGAATTCAAACTCGTAGCGTAGACAACGATGAAGTGACGCACAAAGCTGGCAAGTGTTGGCAGCTTTTGTAATCAAAGCAAATCACGTTGCCAAATCGTCTCATAATAGTTCCACGAATCTTTATATACAGAATTACTACTCAAGACCAAAAAACAATTATGCAAAGTTTCATGCAAATCAGAGAAGGTCGAGCCTGAAATTATTAATTTTTTGCTATTTGGCCTGGAAATGCTCTATGATTACCATTGATATCATTTTTGATTTCTTATGTGGTTCATTTTACAGGGTGGCCCGTGAACCTGGAAAATCGGGAAATAAGCAGAAATTCTAATAGTAACCGGGAAAAACCCGGAAATTCGACGGGAGAACCGGGAAAAATCAATAAACCTTAATATACAATCAATTCTAGATAGAGCTGGGATTAGGGCG